GTCCAAAGGTTGTGACAATGGCAGTCTCCGTCTCCCTCGTATGACTTGGCTGGTTGGGTTTCTCTCTGGTTGACTGTATTCCTGGCCTCTTGGGGACCCTCTAAAATGGCAGGCAGAGGAAAGGAGGCATTTCTGTGTGCTGCCTTCATTTGTTCCTCAAGGGGTTTCGGCTAAACTCCCTAAACAAAATGAATTTGATTTTATCTGCCAGAGAACATTCTAAGTAAAAAGATCAAGAGCCATCACCCCATTGAGCTCTCTCCCCACATCTCGAGAAGGCTGGGCTCCTTGGAGTGGAGAGTGGGCTGGGACCCCATTCTGGCAGCATAGCGGAGATCTTCCTGCCTCAGTGTGGATCTGGTGAATGCTGAGGGACTCAGGGTGGGCTCCGAGGTGGACTCATTGTCCCAGCTCACTGTGCAGACAGGGCAGTAAGTGCCAGGCCTGGGACTGTGGCCGTAACCTTGGCCGGTGGTCGGCCTTTACTTTCAGCAGCAGCAGAGGGATCGTAACTGTGGTAGAGAAGGATGTCGAGGCAGAAATTGTTGAGGATCTACACTGTGTCAAGCACTGAGAGAGTTTCTTCAGATATTTGGGATTTTGAACGTATCTACTCTTCTAATTTATTTCCATCGTCCTCAGAGAACATGTTCTGTGTGATTTCGCTCCTTTGAAATGTATTGAGAGTGATCTCGTGGTTCAACATATGGCCTGTCTTGGGGAACGATGCATGTGAACTTGAAAAGAATGTGTCCTCTACAGGTTTGGGGTGGCGTGTTCCATAGACATTGGTTGTGAAAGACCCAGGACTCCGCCTGGTACAGAACAATCTTCACTCTGCGGCGCCCCCAGGGGAGGGCAAGTGGGAGACATCCATGTGGGTGAAGAGGCACGGCCAGCCCCCCAACCCCAGGTGGCAGACTCTATGCCAACTTGTCCTCCATGTGGCCCCCATAAGAAGAAAGGCCAAGAACTCTAAAAAGACCTCTGAGGCCAAGAGAAAATGTCCAGGGATTTGCTCGACGGAGAGAAGCTGGCCCTTGGAGATGAGGAGGGGTGTATGTACGTAAGACTCTCTCTCCCCAGCTGCTCTCTCTCTTCTCCTCAGGCCTTCAGCAAACATTTATCAGAGACTTGCTCTTCCTGGTAGCTGTTCTATGTGTGGGGATGTAAGGATCAACATTGCCCCTGTCCTCCCAGAATTTTCAGGCCACCGGGAATACAGGTAATTAAACAGGCAATTATGCCCAACAGGGCAGGGGGCATGCCTGGAAAAGTACGTATATATCAGAATAGAGCCGCTCTCGCTTTTTTCCTCCCTCTCTCCTCCTCCGTTACACAGATCTGCAGATCAAACAGGAGGATTTCCGCAGGGAAGCTGAAAGGTAGAGATGACATGGTGCTATCTGTCAACCTATTAGAAAGCTTGATGTAATTATTTCGTGAAGGGCAAGGGATGTTGCCCTGGGAGAGGGGACCCTGGAGGTTCACGGAGTAGAGAAGAGATACTGTGCAGACAAGGAAAAAAGTCTTTCCTGAGGTTGGTAAATTTGTATTTATGGAATTGGTTACAGGAGGCCCCAGTGGGAGGTTTTTCTTTCAAATAGGTTTTGGCAACTCCATAGAAGACGGTCTTTGCCCACCTTTGGTGAGCTCATGGTTTCTGTTTCTTTTCTCACCAAATTGTATGCCTAAACTTCTAGAAAATAGTCATATTGACCCACTTAAATTTTCCACCTTTTTAATTGCCCTTGTTCCTGGGTGGAGGGAGTATAATGAGCTAGCAGTGGGAGGTGGGGGTGGGAGGCGAAAGGTTAGACTGTCTTTGATGAGCTGGGAGGAAGGCCTGGGGCTGCGTGATCAGAGAATGTGGTTCTTCGGTGGCCTTTGGGGTCACTTATTAGGTTTGGGAACACTAGTTGGGAGTTCACCAAACAGCGTGCAGCCCATGAGGGTGGGCGACTCTTTGTGGGAGCTGAGGAGAAGCCTGAGGATCAGGGAGGACCCATGCTATACCCTGGGAGGTGGCAGAGGCTGTGGGCCCCACGAGACCCAACACCAGTAATGGAGGAACTACTGGCAGCCGCTTGCTTATATCCCCCATCCTCATTACCACCCTGGGACCCAGGGATCTGCATTTTACCCGTGAGGCGACAGACACTGAGCATAGTTAAGCCAAGTCGCTCAGCTCCGGCTAGAAGTGGTGGATTTGAGAACTGATTCCACACAATCCCGGGCTCTGAGACCTTGGCTTCCATTGCCACATGCCCAGCTGCTTCCCTAGAGCTTTGGGGGCAGCTCCTGGAATCAGGCTGCCTGGATTCAGATCCCAGCTCACTATTCAACAGAACAATGATCCGAGGTCAGTTCCTCACCCTCGGGTTCCTCCTTTGTAAAATGGGCTGGTTTGGTCACCGTGCTCAAGGACTGTTCTCGATGCCCCATTGAGCTCGTGCGGTGCATGTAAAGCTCTGAGCACACGTGTAAGTGCTCCGTACGTGTTGGTTACCGTGCTTGTTATTAACCCAGCAGGACAAGGAGGAAGGTTGGGGGCGTCCCGGGTGTGCTGTCGCTCCTCTGTTTCCTCCTCCCACTGTCCCGACTGGCAGGCAATCAGGAGTTGGTTTTTCTGGTACAAAGCTTGCCCTGGTATCCTGGAGTGACCTGCAGGCCTGAGATTATTGTACAGGCCCACACGCCCAGCCAAATTTACCGCTCGCCTCGGTGGCCCCCTCAGCCTGTGCCTCTGTAGTTGAGAGAAACCGCTACCCTTCAGCCCGCGTTCTCGCTCTGGAAAGGCCTGACCTTTATTCAGAATCATCCTCCAGTCCCCACGTCACACACAGGCTCGTTCACCCACTCCCTCCCCCGGCACGCCCTTTGTTTTCTCTCTTTGGGGGAGATAATGGGGACCACAGTGTCTCCAAGACAGCTGTTTTTCCTTCGTCTCTGTCTCTGTCCTTCTAACTCTCTGTTCCCCAGTGGGGTCTCTCTGACACAGGAGGGTACAGTGAGGATATGAAGGTGTTGAAGGACAGGGCTGTAGCGTCAAACAGCCTGGGCTTAATCCTCTGAGGTCCAGAACAACTGCCCTTCACTTAACGTTCCTCATGGGCATGCCATATGATATTACATATATATATACATATATATAAAATATATAATAACTTCCATCAGGTTGTGAGGATTAAATGGTGAAATGAGATAACCCATGGAAAAGCATCATTAGCATTCAATGCTAATCATTATTAATCATTATTAATCAATGCTATCATTATTAGAAGTCCTGGGAGCTTCAGGGTGTATCCTCAGTCGAGGCTTTGTGGCCTCTGGGTCTCGGTTTCCTCATTGTCAAGAGAGTTGCTGATAGCTGCCCTAGTGAGGTTGTGAGGACCAGGACGCAAGAGGGGTTTGAGAAGACTGAGGACCCCAGAGTCAAAAACTGGACAGAGCTCCCCTCTCCTCTGCCCAGCCTGTGCCTGAGCTTTAGGCCTGGAGGTGGCATCTACCCACCCCCTCCGATGTGCTGGGGTTGTGGGGAGGGCTCAGCTGACCTTCCCAGCTCCAGGGGGCTACAAACTCTCAGGCTGAGAATTTCCAGCTGATGGTCAGTTCCCCTGGTGCATTGAATTTTCTTTCTCTCTCTCCTTTTCCTTACCCTCTTCCAGCACCTTCTGAAACTCCCCAGTCTTGTGCTCCTAATGTCATACACTGGCCTTTACTTAATTGTTGCATCACAGAAGATGGCCCCCAGGAGTCCCCTGCTAGATGTTTCCTCAGACCAGCGCTGCCCACCTCCCCAGTGTCTGTGGTAACTTTCACACAGCCAGTAAATCCCTTGCCCTCTGCCCAGCCTTCCGTCCCCCTCTCTGGGACCTTATTCCTTCTGCCACTTGCTGCCCAGGGCACCCCATCTCTGATGGTGGAAAATGCTCCCCGCACTGAGCTTTCCCCAGTGGCCCCATCTGGAACAATATACATATCTTTCACCTTTAAAATCTCTCTCTCTCTTTTAACCTTCTCATTTTGTATGTCTCAGTTATTTGCTGCCACATTCCTTAAGGAAAAGCTCTCACTCCCACAATGCTGCCTGGGCTTCTCTCTGCACCTGTGTTCTCTCATCTGTAAAATGGGGAGAACTGGTGTAAATGACCGACGTTCTTACGAGTTGTGAGGCTTAAAAGAGGCTCTCGACATGAACACCTCCCACCTCAGGGCCTGCACATATTAAAGGATCAGAGAATGAATGAATGGTTGAGTGAATGCAAGCCTTTACTATTCTGCTAGAAATTGTTAAAAACAGATAGAATTTCGCTACTGTCCACACTGCCCCCGGGAATGCTACACCAGCGGCTCGCAAACCTAGGTTCTGGGTGAGATTCCCAGGTTGGCCACTTACCCAGCACACTGAATCTTTCTGCCCTGCAGTGACATCATCTGGGTCAGGGGTCAGCACACTATGACCTATGGGCTACATCCAACCCACTGCCACAAACTAAGAATGGTTGTTACATTTTAAAATGTTTTTTACGTTTAAAGTTTTACATTTTAAATGGAAATGTAAGTTAAATAGAATGTAAACACTTTTACACATTTTAAATAAAAATATCAAAAGAAAAAGAATATTTCATAAAGTATGAAAATTCTAAGAAATTCAGACTTTGGTGTTTGTTAAGTTTTACTGACACATAGCCATGCTTGGTCATTTACGTATTGTCTATACAAGCTGTGGACAATGTGTGCAGAGCTCTTGTGTGCTCTGTAACAGCACAGTTGTGTGGTTGTGACAGAGACTGCGTGGCCCATAAATCAAAAATATCTATTATCTGGTGCCGGCCCCGTGGCCGAGTGGTTAAGTTTGCGTGTTCCGCTGTGGCGGCCCAGGGTTTCGCTGGTTCGTATCCTGGGTGTGTACGTGGCACCGCTCGTCAGGCCATGCTGAGGCGGCATCCCACGTGCCACAACTAGAAGGACCCACAACCAAACATACACAACTATGTACCGGGGGGCTTTGGGGAGAAAAAGGAAAAATAAAATCTTTATAAAAAAAAAAAAACAATTATCTGGCCCTTTACCAAAGTTTGCCCATCTTTAGTCTATGAAATAGGAGCAACGGTATATGCCTACTCCACTGTGTATGGATAAAATGTGCATTATGTGCATAGCACCAAGTGGAAACTCACGAAAAGTTGGTTCATCCACTCTCTTTCCTTTTCTGTCTTAATTCCCTTCCATAGAGAGTTCTTATTTCAGGGCTTAAGCCACATAAAACCATAAAAAAAGGATGGCAGGCCACCTGTAACACCGTGCACTGCACAGATGAGGCCTTCAGGCAGTAAGGCTGTGTTTGTCACCTCTATCTTTCTGCTCCTCAGCATCCTCTGTGGGGATGCTGGGGAAGGGGCCAGAACTCCTTGTGTCCTCTGGGGTGTCTGGGTCCCAGACAGAGATGGGGGTGGCCCTGCATGGGCTGCCGTAGAGAGCAGCTTCTCTTGGATTTATCGGAGGCTGCATCATTTCTTGGTTAGGGGACTGAAACTGGGCTTGTGGCACAAAAGGTGCCTGCGGCCGCAGTTGAGTTCATCTCAAGATGACTGCTTGAGGGGATGCAGCTGGAATAGAGGGTCTTGATTCGGTTTGAGGGATGGCATGGAGTCGTGGAAAGAACTGACATATGGGATCTGGGCTGGAATCCCAGCTCTGCCCCTCACAGACTCTGGGATGGTCCCTCTCTGCACATCTTTTCTTCATCTGAAAAGTAGGGGTGATGGTTTCTCCTGGGGAGGGCTATGAACAGGGTTCCCCAGTGGGTAAGCCTGGGGAGTGCTGGGTTTTGTCTTTTTCTGCACTGAAACCCTGTGCTAGAACAGTGCCTGGCCAAAGACCTGTTTTGAAAGGGGGTAAAATACGTGGAGTGCCTGCCACACAATCAGTTCTCATTAAATAGTCATATTGCTGTGTCTGTTCTAAACTAAGAACCAGCAGAATATGGCCCACAGGCCAAGTCTGGCCCACAGCCTGATTTTGTAAATAAAGTTTTATTGGGACACAGCTCCACGCCTTGGTTTACATGTTGTCCAGGGCTGCTGGACAGTGGTGGAGTTGAGTAGTTGTGAGAGAAACATGGCCTGCAAAGCCCAAAATATGTACTATCTGGCTCTTTATAGCGAATCTTTGTGGCTCCTGCTCTGAATGTCAAGGCGCCTCTGTCCGTCAGTGATCGAGGATTTCATTTTCCTCTGATTGCAGGTGTGCAAACAGTTAAATGTTGAAAACAAGCTGCTAGCTTGAAGTATGTATTCTCGATGCCCTCTCTTAAGATACTCAGTTTTTCCTTTGATGCTCTAATTCCACCGCAATATTCCGGCACGGTCAGAATGGACTTATCTCCTGCTCTCGTACCTAAGATGGTGTCACTTTCATTTCTGTGTAAAAAGAAACTCAAACCACCTGTCAACCACTGGTATATTCATTAGGACTGGCCATGTACCTTGCAACAAGTCTAGGCTTAGGGAAGCACACAGGAGATGAGTCAAGGTAAAAAAGGATGACCGACTAGATACAGCTTACTATGTGGTATCAATGGATAGATGGCTGACAGGGAGCAGGAGGGAGTCCACTGTCTGGGCCACAGAGTGTGTAGGTTTCTGATTCATTCGTCCATTGTCATGAACAGAATGACCTCAAACACCTTAGTTAGCCTCACTTAACCTTGATTTTCCAATCTATAAAATGGCAACAATGATACTCACCACACTGGGTTGTTGGGAAGACTAAATAAGGTAATGTATCAGGTACCAGAAACATGGTAACTATTCACCTATTTTTATAATGAAATAAATCCTTTATTTCTCAGTTTGGGAGAGAGATTCAAAGACCTCTGCTACAGTCGGCCCTCCTTTTGATGGTCAGGACCCACAGTTGGTTTTGTGCAGTGGTGAATGGGATCTTCTGGGACTGAACAGCATTTATCAAGTACTCTTTGGTCTTCGTTTGAAGGGCTCCCCGTCCACTGGGCCAGCTGAGCAATGCGGGCTGGACCCTTGCCCTGCTACCATTGCATAGGCAGCAGATCTGTTTCTTCTCTTCCCTCCAGAAGGACAGAACGACAAGCCCCCGGATTCCTAAGCCCCAACGAGAGGACCATTCAGGAACCACTGAAGGCTGAGTTCACCAAGGTGAGTGCATCCTTGCAACCTGGACAGGAGCCCAGCTCTGAGCTAACAAACATGAACCTACCAACCAGGATCTCCAGGTGTAGGTCCCTTCTGTCTTGTTCACGGTTTAGAACAGCACTTGGAACACAGTATTTACTTCACCACAGTTTCTTGGGAGGATGGATGGTCACCCCTTGTGAATGACACACTGCCTACTGTCCTCAGAGGCTCCAGCCTCATGTGCCTCTTAGACTGTGATGCCCATGATGCCAGCAGGTGAGCACCAGGCTCAGAATGAGAGTACACGGCAGTTCTGTCCGACTCCCCAGGCCCCCGTTCTTGCCACAGTTCTCTGCCATCACCTGTCCTGGCTCCTCATGGCTGAGGAGGCTCCCGTGTGCCCATGTGCCCAGGGATCTTCCCACTGCAGCCCCTAGACCAGCCCTGCGAGGTGCAGGAAGCCAGCCAACATGCCCCCCCCAACCCCAACCACATCTAGATCTCCACTGTCAACCTAAGTCTAGATCAGGGAGTATGTGATGGTTGTCCCTTGTAGAAGTGGGGAAACTGAGGCATAGAGAGGCTTATTCACTTGCCCGAGAATCTAGTAAGTGGCAGAGCCAGGATTCAAAACCAGGCAGCCTGGTTCCAGAGTCCATTCTTTTTAAGAAAATACCACCCACTCCCCCCACACCCCACCACCCCCCATTAGTTTCCGTTAGTTTCTACCTTCCTCTGACCCACAGCCAGTGACCAGGTGTTCTGCACCCCAGCCTCCCCTGTGACAGCCAAGACCGCTCATCACCTGTAGGGTGCTCACAGGGCTGTGAGGCCTCCCTCTCTTTCTGCCCTTCCTGGTGGCCAGGAACCTGCTCCATCTTGCTCCCCTGAAATCATTACTCTCTTTGGACCCCTGGACTCCCTTCCTGGGGCTGTCCTTGTGTCTCCTCTTCCCTCTGTCTTCCCCACCCCGTCCTGTCCTGTCCATCCAATAAGGAATTAGATCCCTGGTGCATGGCGTTGGGGCAAGGGTGCTGGGTGGGAGGTGCAGTCACTCCTGGTCTTGAGCCTCGGCCCCCTCTGTAGCCTCAGGGCTGTGGCTGAGACCTTCCATCCTGGGAGGAGCGGGAGAGGTTCCTGAGTTTAGAGCGCGCAAAGAACAGGGCGCCGGAGGCTTGGAAACCAGGGGAAACGCTGCACTTTAAGGCTGTGCACTCGGCGTGGTGCCTCTGCGATCAACAAACCTGGCACAGGGCTGCGGGCGGGGGGTTGGGGGTGAGAATGGAAAGACAGCTGCCAAGGGGAACAGAGAGCTTCTCAGATCACCCTCGTGCCCTCCCCACTGCACCATCAGGGCTTCGACAAAACTGCACTTCCGGCCCGGGGCTGGAAATCGCTGTGTGTAGAGTGAAGAAAGAGAGGCCATTTTCTAGCTGTGTGACCTTGGGCAGGTGACTTAGCACCCTGCACTTCATATTCCTCTTTGTTCCAATGGTCATGATGATAACGATCTGGCAGGAGCCTATATTAGAGATAATACGGTTCCTGGCTCATAGTAGGTGCTCATTGTGAAAATGTCTTCTGCCTCACCTCCCCTTAGCCAGCCCACCCTTTCTCTGGAGAGGTTTCCTTTGTGATGAGCAAGCTGGCAGCACCTACCATCCCACTGGGCACACCCTTATAAGTATTATCCCTATTGCGATCTGCCCAGAGCCCCCAGTCTCCAGAGACCTGGGGCCCCAGTGGGCAGGGACTATGCTGTGCCTTCCTTCCTGGTTGTCCAGCAGCCATGCTCCGCCACACCTCCTGGTGAGTTTCTGTGGGATGATTACTTGTGAACACTTGTGAGCAGTTACTGCCTAGAAAGCAACTGTTTCTACCCTTTTCCCAACGATTTCACTAGAATTATTCCACTTTGCCCTTACAACAACCCTATGAGAGAGTCATTACTCCATTTTACAGACGGGGCAACTAAAGCTCTGAGATGAGGTGGCTTGCCCAGGGTTGCCCAGCCCCATCGGTGGGGCAGTGGCTGCCCACCAGGACCATCTCACGCAGACTCCTGCTCTGCACGTCATTGCACATCGTGCCGCTCGGCTTGCTGGGTTCACGGCTCACGCTTCCCGAGAGATGCAGTGCTGTGAGGTCCGCTCCCCGCCCCGCCCTCCCCAACCCCCGCTTCTGGGGAAGGATGCTTTCCAGGGCACTTTGGAATTAAGGGTGTGGAGGAGGCCCCTAGGTCAAGGCCAGGCAGGAGAGGCCTCTCAAGGGCTCAGCCAACATGCTGTATTTCTCCTTCTGAGGCTTGAAGAGGCAGGGTGCAATTGAGGGGTCAGGGACCACCGCCCAGGGTCACCGTGGGCAAATTACACCATGAGACGTCCCCCTTCCTGCACGAAGCACCTTGGGGCGCGCCTTCCTCTCCTTCTGGACGCCGTCCCTGACCACTGGCCTACCCTTTCTACGGGAATCACAGTTGACCCTGCAGCTTGCCGCGGACTTATATGTATGCTTAAGTATAATTTTGATTACTTTTTTCTTGTTCCAAAAGTAATTTATAATCACTGTAGAAATTTTAAATCAACAAAAGTAACCGAATTAATACCAATAATCACCCTACTCAAATATAACCAGTTGACGTTTTGATGTATAATCTTCTAGTACATATATATGTATATATATATTTAATATATTTATTCCTTTATATGATATACTAGGAAGGAGATTATATTCTACATGCGTTTTTCTAACTTGCTCTTTTAGTTAAAACTCTCTCACAAGCATCTTTCTTTATAATTAAATATTCTATAATGAACTTTGCTAATGGCTTTTTTTTTGTTTTTCATGTCCATTGCCATGTCATGGGTGTGCTAGTTTTGCTTCCTTTATTTTATGGTAAGCTCCTTAAGCGTCCATAATTCCCAGCATGATGCCAGCCCCGGGACTGGTGTGTTGTTTGATTGATGGCCATGTGGGGGCGTAGAGAGTGTGTGGGATTGTGGACAGATGGACCCAGGTTTAAGCGCTGAGTCTGCAAGGTTTTTTTTTTTGTTTTTTTTGCTAGGGAAGATTCATCCTGAGCTAACATCTGTTGCCAATCTTCCCCCTTTTTTTTTTTTATGTGAGCTGCTGCCACAGCATGGCCATTGACAGATGAGTGGTGTGGTTCTGCACCCAGGAACCCAACCCAGGCTGTCAAAGTGGAGTGCACCGAACTTTAACCACTAGACCATCGGGGCTGGCCCTGCGAGTTTCTTAAATTGTCCTTCCTGCTTTCTTTCCTTCCTCCCTCCCTCCCTTCTTCCCACCTTTCCCTAACAAATGTTTTGTTAAATATTCCAAGTGTTTATGCAAATACGCATTTACCTAAATAACATGTGAGTGCCTCCTCTGAGTTAGACCCTCAGCCTGGCCCTGGGGATGAAGTAATGTACATCCTTATAGACCTGCTCCTCTGGAGTGTGCTTCCAGGGGGGTTGCAGACCCAGATTAAATCAACAGATGAAAAGTAAATAGAGAACGAAATTGTGTTGAAGTACACCGACAGTAAACACAGGGCTGGGAGAGAAAATAAAGGGGGACACCCTTGAGATGGGGGTCCAGCAAAGCCCTTCCTGTGGAGGTGACTGTCAAGCTAAGACCTGAAGGAACAGCGGCAGGGAGAATGGGGAAGCTGTTCAGACCAAGGCCCTGAGATGGGCAAGACTTGGGCATAGTTGAGGAACTTAAGAAGGCCCATATGGCCACAGGGAATGAGGAGGGAGTAAGGTGACGGTGGGGGGTGGGGGGGGGGCGAGGGGTGGGGACTGCAAGGCCAGGGACCCTGGCAAAATGAGGCAGAGAAAAAGAGAGGGAATAACATGGCAAGCCTGGGATTCTGGAAGAACTCATAGGTGCGCCCCCTCCCCTAGAGGATGACTTCCTGGTCGGAGCAGTTGTAACTCAGATTCACACAGAGCTGGTCAGAATTCCAGAGCTGGTCAGCGCTTAGGCACGAGTAGAGTCAGCCTTGCCATTTTCAGTGTTAGAGGTACTGAGATTCAGCAAGGGGAGGTGACCTGTCCAAGGTCACCCAGCTGGAAAGTGGTGGGACAAGTCGGCTCCCCAAGGCCAGAGCTCTTTGTGCCGTGCCACCAGCCTGTTCCCTTCCAGGGGCTCTCCGAGTAGGCCGCTGTGTTTGAGCTCACCTTCCAGAAGTGTGCTCTGCAGTTTTGGTGAGGCACGGTTGTCAGCTGCCCCCGGAGTGCCTTCACAGTGATTCCCCGGGTGGCTCCGACAGCCTCATGTCAGAGCTCCAGGAGGCATGCCTTCCAGGCCCTCCACAGCTGATCCCCCCTGAGCCCTGTCACAGTGGACCCCCCATTAGGCCTGGAGAGCTACCGCTGTCACTGCCTTCTAGTTGTCGCCCCCGGACATGCGTAAGAAGGCAGACAGACCTCTCAAGGAAGATGTCTGGAGCTAGAGAGCGGTTCTCCCCATGTCCCCGAGCATCTCTTCCCCTTCTCTGCATCCAGGCTGGTGCTGTGGCCCGTTGATCCCAGGACAGGTCTCATCACACCTCACTTCTGGTACAAGAGACGCTTGTTCTCTGCTCTCCTTCCTTCACACGCTTTTTCTGGGGAAGACTGCAGAGACTGTTTTATTCCATCATTTCCTCCTTCCTGCCATTGGCTCCCAATGAGGACCTGCAGGTGGCACATCCCATTTGCAGAGTAAACTCCCACTTTGCTGGTCTAGACCACTGGTTTCCAGCCTGCCCTCTGGGACACTATGCTGAGGGGCTCCTGGGCAAGGCTGATTGGGCCGCCATGTCAGAGACTTCTGGTTACTGCACTCTACTGGGAGAACCCATGGAAGAGTCCCAGGAAAGGTTACATTTTCCTTTCATCTTTAGTAATAGAACCCCCAATTTTTAGCTGGGTGCATGAATAAAAGACTAAATTTCCCAGCCTCCCTTACAGCCATGTGCTTAGTTTCTCATAATGAAATAAAAACACAAGTGTCTTGAATGCTCTCTTGGAAGAGTTCTTGAGGAGGGAGGGAGCACCTTTTCATCATTCTAGCTAGCAAGAATGTAGAAGTGATGGGTGGCACTTAAGCAGCTATCTTAGACCATGAAGTAGAATCTAGATCAACAAGATTGAAGGATCCTGGAAACTATGGAGTCTCCTGGTAATCCTGAACTGTTCCCTCTAGACTTCAGGTATATGAGAGAAAAATACATTTCTATCTTGTTTGTCAGCCAAACCACATCTTAAAGAATACAGCTGCCCACATCACTGTATGTCTGATGTCAGAAGGCTTGTTGTGCTTTGATTCAATGATCTTTTGCTTTAGGGGGCCATGAAGTGTGCTGGGTACCAGAGATGCAAAGACAGAAATGGTTCGCTATTTTCCAGTTGGATTAGTTTACTGGGGCTGCTGTAACAAAATACCACAGCCTGGGGGGCTTAAAAGAAATTTATTTTCTCAGTTCTGGAGCCTAGAAGTCCAAGATAGGTGTCCGCAGGGCTGCTTTCTCTTGAGTCCTCTCTCCTTGGCTTGCAGATAGCCACCTTCTCACCGTGTCCTCACATGGTCTTTTCTCTGTGTACGTGAATCCCTGGCGTCTCTCTTCGTAGGGCCCCACTGTAATGGCGTCATTTTAACTTAGTCACCTCTTTAAAGACCTTATCTCCAAATACAGTCACATTCTGAGGTCCTGCGGGTTAGGGCTTCTTATGAATTGGAGGGAACACAATTCATCCCATAACACCAGTGAATGGACTTCTCTTGGGAAGGACAGACAGGACTAAGATTCCATTCATCCTTGAGATAATCAAGTAATTGGTGTGTCTGGTGCCAGAACAAAAAATCCATAATGTGTCAGGAACCCCCTCCTCATTTCCAAAATGGAAATGCCTTCCCTGATGGTTGTTTGGAGTCTTTGCCTGACTTGACCTTGCACTGCCTTTGACACAGTTAACCACTCCTCCTTGAAATATGTCCATCATCGGGCTTTCAGAACCCCTCTCTCCTGGTTTGCCTCCCTTTCCCAGCCGCCCTTCTCAGGCCCCTTTGCCTGTTTCTCCTCCTCTCCCTGACCCTACGTTTTACAGAGTTGAAACATTTGCCTGGAGAACTTGGTTCTTAGATCTCCGCTTTTCTATCTACACACAGTCCTTAGAGAGCTCCTTTGGTCTTACGGGTGTCCATGTCCTCTTTATACCAACATCTCCCCAATTTTCCCTCCTCCTCGGCCTCCAGCCTGGTACATTCAGCTGCCTCCACCTCACCTCCACGTGGATATCCAGCCACCATCACAAACTTCTGATTTCCCCCCCAAGTCTCCCCATTTGTGGTCTTCTGCATCTTTGTTAATGGCAGCTCCATCTTTTCCATCATCAGCCTACAACGTAGGTTTAGTTGACCTTGGACTCCCTCTCTCACCCATCATATCTAGTCTGCCGGCAAAATCTGTCCAGAATATCACCTCCTCTCAGTATCCCCTGCCCCTGCCTTGGTCTAAGCTGCCATCGTTTCTTGCCTGCATTATTGCGACAGCCCTTGGCTGGCCTCCCTGTGTTTGCCTTTGCCCCTCTACAGTCTATTCTCAGAACAGCAGCCTGGGGGACCTGTTGAAGTGGAAACCACAGTGTATAACCTCTCTGCTTCAGAACTCCCATGTGCTTCCCATCCGATTCAGGTACGGGCTTTGCAATGGTCAACGAGGCCCATGGGGTCCAGCCTTGCTGTCCCTGACTGTGTCCTGGTTCTTTCCATCTCACTCATCCCACCTTGCCCTCTACGCCCTGCTGTCTCTCAGACACACCACGCACGCTTGGCCCAGGCTGCTGCACCTGCTGTGCTCTCTCTACCCTCACTGCTCACTCCCTCACCTCTTCCAGGCCTTTGCTCAGACGGTACCATCTCAGCGAGGCCTTTCCTGCCACCGAATTCAACATTCAAACTCCCCCATGTTCTGTAGCACTCTTTCTTCTCTTTCCAGCTTTGTTTCCCTCCGTTGCTCTTGGCACCTTTTAATGTGCCGTACCATTGTTTATGTTGATCCATTAGTTCCCCCATCCCATCAGAAAGTAAACTCTAGGAAGGCAGAGAATTTTGTTTTAGCCCCTGCCTAGAACAGCACCTGGGACATGGCACTCTGTAAATATTTGTAGAATGAATGAATGAATGAATGATCTTACCCCAAAGACACACTTCACAGCAAATAAACCTTTATTTCAAGCATCAACCTTTTGGTCTTTGATATATATATAATACTTATATATATACATACACATATACAGTGATAAATATATATTTTATATATTTGTATATGCTTGCAAGTTGCAAGAATGTATATATCACATACATAACATGTATCAAGATATATATATAAAGCATATGTGTATATATATAAAAGGTTTATATATACACACACATACAGAATATATATTTGTCAAAGACCAAAATGTATTTTCTATCTATAGCCAAGGTGCCATGGTTTTGCAGAGAAGGCTCCTTCTGGTTCCCCCGCTGCCAGTCAGGAGGCACTCAGGCACAACTGTGCAGTAAGCGGGACACTTCTAGCCTCTGGTTTTCCAGAGCAGAGAGCACATCATGGCCAGAAAATTTCTGCCTCACCTCTGGTTCTTCAGAGTGGCAGGCTGGTCACAGGTGTGGTGCATCAGACTATGAAAACGCTGGTGGCCGTGGCTCCCTGCCTGTGTGTCAGCCTCCTTGAGGCCCGCTCCAGCACGAGCTGGAAAAGGCGTGCCTTTCTCAGAGGGTGGAAAGCTGGTGAGTTCCCTGGTATCTCCTCCCTGTGTCCTGGGCCCGTATGGTCTGGCTCTGGCCCACTGTCCACTTCACCATGGCCACTTTCCCCTCCCCTCGCCATGCTCTTGACATGCTGGCTTCTTTGTGTCCCTGTAGGTGCCACCTCCTGCCCGTCCAGCTCCATCTCCAGCTTGGGGCTTTGCCAGCTGCTCACTCTACTGCGTTGCTCCCCATGGGGCATAGAATTGGGTCCCCCAAAGAGACACATTCAAGTCTCAACCTGTGGCACCTAAGAATGTGACCTCATTTGGAACTAGGGGTTTTGCAGATGTCGTCCAGTTCAGAAGAGGTCATACTGGATTAGGGTGGCCTCTAAACCCATGACCAGTGTCCTCATAAGAAGGACATGGACACACAGCGGAGTGGGCTGTGTGAAGATGGAGGCGGAGAATGGAATGGTACTCTACAAACCATGGAATGCCAAAGATGGCTGACCAACCGCCAGGGGCTAGAAGAGGCAAGGAAGGAGCTTACCCACAGGTTCGGTGGGAGCACGGCCCGCCGACACCTTGATCTCTGGCCTCCAGACCTGTGAGAGAATAAACCTGTGTTGTTTTAAGCCATGTGGTTTGCGGTACTTTGTTACGGCAGCCCTGGGAAACGCATCCACCTCTCTTTCATCCTTTGGTTCTCACCCTAAATGCCACCTCCTTGAAGGGCTTTCCTGGACTCCCAATCATAGCTAGTTATTTTACTAGTTCTCTACCCATCGCTTATTACCACGTGAGATTCTCTTTTGAAAGCTTCCCCTGACAGACTGTAAGCCCTCTGCCGTCTCCGTGCTGTTCGCGGTGTGTCCCCACTCGGGCAGAATACCTGCACACACCGACGGAGCAATAAATACGTGTTGGATGGAGGCATCGCAGTCCAGCGAGAATCTTCCACACTTGCACATTCCGTGTATCAACATCTGTGTCATAAGATCCCCAGTCAGAAGGTTGCCTTGGTGCTTCGCCTACAAATCCTGAAAATACAATTATTCAAATTGAGTCGCTCAACCCATGTCACCTCGCAGTCAGAGAGATAGGAGGATCTTTGAGGACTTTCCAAGCCAGGGTCCATTCTTACTAGTTAGGCTGAACGTGTTTTCCTGCTAAGAATAGGAACCAGAAATGAGTATTACCCAAGTGATTAGAAAGATCTTAAATAGAAAAAGAAAAAACTCCAAAAATGTAAGTCCGCTCACCCTTACCCTCCTTCTCAACGTCTGCTCCCTGCCTCCCATCCTTGGGACCTCCCAATCTTGTCTCCTGGGTCATGACAAATGGTGGCCCCATTTTGGACCGCTCCACATTCTGTTGTGTTGCTCCTTCTCCAGATTTAGATGGAGATGTCTTTTAGGTGCTTTTAGATGATTCTAGAATTGACATCTCCCCTGAGACTTATCTGTCACATGGTATGTAGGTTTGGCCTCTGATGGATTCAGAATGACTTTTATTGTGGACCTAATGCATACTGGCTTTTACACTAGGTGGTTTTACAGTCTGCAGCTTCTTTTTCATTAAATCTGTTTCACATCTATGTTCACTATGAAGTGATCTCCCTTCAGAGCTATTTTACTGATGAGGAAACTGAAACTCAGAGAGGTTGAGAAATTTGCCTAAGATCACACAGCCAATAATTGGTAGAACCCTTTTCAAACCTAGGTCTGTCTGACTTCAATGCTAATGTCTTTTTCTCTAAATTTTACAACTGAAAAAAGCAGCCCTAACTAGAAATTGCCTTATTAGTAGCAAGGGGCTTTATTTTATAAGGATTCAGCTATGCTTGGCACTGCCCTGTCAGTGGTTATCTACTAGCCTGTTGGGAGGGGTTTTGACTGTTGGATTTATGGACCCGGGACACTTGGTATGTGCTCAGGACACTGCACAGACCTGGCAAGCACTCTGGCTGGGGGTCATCTTCTCCTGGGACTGTGCTTTCTGACTCTGGGACATTAGTCTAGCCACTTCTCTCCTCCAGCCTCAGTTTCCCCAACCACAAAATTAGGACTCAGATTCGATGATCTCCATGTTGCTGTCCTGTCCTGATAATCTAGCATTTTGGCATCCTGGGGCTATAACTACCAGTGCTTCCATGCCCCACAAACTCAAGACTTCCCATTATGTCTGGAGTCCATGGCCTACACCAAAATGTCCAAGGCACCCATGCAGGTCCCTCTGTCAGAGGCCCTGCCTTACCCATCTCTCCCATGCCATCAGCACACATCGTCTCCTCTCTTGGAGTCAGTCCTGCTGGTGGCCCTGGGGCAAGTTTCTTAACGTCTCTGAACTTCCATATTCTCCTCTCTGAAATGATCTCAAATAAGCGTAAAAACCCACCTCATCGGCTCATTGTGAGGGTTACGTGAAATAAAACAATAACCATTGTTCACTTTCTAGGGGCCTTGAAGTGTGCGGAGTCTTGGCCCAGAAGCGCACACTCTGGAGCCAGATGGATGTGTTCAAATCTTGGCTACGCCACTGACTCACTTACCAGTTGTGTGGGTTTGGGCAAGTTGCTTTACTTCTCTGTGCCTCAGTTTCTTCTTTTGTAAAGCAGGAACAGTACCAACCTACCTCTGGGCTTGTTATGGGGTTTAAATGAGTTCGTATTTGTAAGACACATAAAATAGTGAGAGGCACAGAGCAAGTGCCATGTGAAGAGTTAGAAATTATTATTAGTTCCTCTAATTCTCAAATCAGCCTGACGTGGGGTTCTGTCACTATCCTCATTTTATAAATGGGGAAGATCAGTAACTTGGCCAAGGCCTTGAACCCACACTGGCCGGCAGGGTCTCAACCTTCAGCCTCACTGACTAACAGAAAGGAGGAGGATCCATGCTTGGGGTTTAATGGTCTGCCATAGCCATCTTGAAATTCTTAATAATTTTATCTTTGAATCTGTGCTTTGTAAGTGAAGTCCTGCTTCCCGTCCAGTCTCGCCTCCCGAGATGAGTTCCAGGCTGGCCCCTCCCCTGCCCTTGCCACACCCAGCATCTGCCCTCAGTCCTGGTGGGGACCTGGGCACAGGCGTGGGGAGGGGCAGGGTCGAGGGGCAGGGCCGTGAGTGGCCGTGAGGGGCAGCACTCACTGGCGAGCATCCCTGGGCCAGAGGGAGCACAACATTAAATAGCAAATCAAAAAAACCCACAACAGATGAAAATAGAGGTCATGGAATAAAGTAAAAAGCTCTTTTCCTTCCTCTTTGAACAAGAGGCCCCGTGTTTTCACTTTGCACGGGTGGGCCAGCCCTGGGTCCAGAGCATGTCACGGTATAAATGAAATGATAGCTCCCTTCCCCTTCAGAAGAAAACCAGAAATGCTTATTCGGGGTTCAGTCACGCAGTGCAGTCTGTTTTGAGTTTTGGTTCGTAGGTAGAGACAGTGTTTTGAAAAAGGGCGGAAAGGTGGCACTTTAGCCACTTCCCACAAAGATGTCTTCTCCAAGGCCTCCTAAGGCCTTTCTGTGATTTGCATGCAAAAATGTGGGCCATTTCCCAACCAGCAGCCCTGTTTGGTGGCAGATAATAGGAAAATCTTGTTTTTTCCTTCCTCTTCTGTTGCTATGATCCTCAGATGCAGAGGGCTCTCTTTAAAAGACGCTGGGGGGCAATTCCTTTATGCACATGTGGGCATCTCTGCATCTGGCAAGGCTGGAGCCAGGCCATGGAGGTCTGGAAGAGGGACCACACAGGCCAGGCAGGGGACCACCAGGGATGCCCTGCTAGTTGGTCTCGGCACCTCTCCAATGCCGCCCTCAGGACTACTGGGAGAAGACTCAGGACACAGAAGTGAAGGGAAAAGGGAGGGTCACTGTCACGCAGGGGCAGAAGCTAGAGCCATGGAGTGGGTGAGCTCCTCATCCCATCTGTCTCTCGTCCAATGTGAGGCTCACTGAGAGCAGAGTGCGCAGCAGCTCCAGGCTGATTCAGGGCCACTGCAGAAGGGCGTCCAGTGAGAGGCCCCAGATAGAGAGAACAGACAACACACTCTGCTGGGAGCAGTGTCTCCTTGCTTGAGTGCAGGCCACATAGCACATCATGAAGATGGAAGATTCCAGAAAGAGTGAGGGATGCAGGAGAAGCCTGCTAGGGGAGGCCAATAAGGAGGAAAGGTGGCCTGGGATGGGATGGGAGTTTGGGGGACAGTTGGGCCTTGGCCAATTTCCTTACCTTGGAAACTGTCCTGTCTTCAAGAGCCTGCTGCCCAAGCCACCAGGCCAATCTCGTTTCCACACCTGCCCTGGGCACCTTTGAAACCCCTGGATGTAGCAGCTTGGGCGGTGGACCCCCTGGGGCATCCATGCATCTTTATTGTTAGTAATCCTGCTCTCACTACTCCTTCAAAGTTACCCCCTCCATCTGCTCCATTGCTCCTAAGAACAGCTTCTTTATCCAGCTCAACACACCTTTCCTGTTTCTCTGTTTACAGGAGAGAGACTAGGAAGGGAGGGGGCAGGGCACAGAAGACCTAGCCTAGGGTTTCTTTTATTGAGTTCTGCCATGTGTCAGAGCAGGGACCCAACTAGCTAGGGTCATAGTCCAGACTAGCATGTTGAACTCCCAACATATAGCTGAATAATTTATACGCTTTTTACTTGTTTTTGCCGTTTTCTGATAGTAGTTGGCATTTACTGACTTCTGTCTATAAGTTTGGCCCCTTGCTGGGCACCCCGCATGCACAATCCCTTTTCAGTCTCTTGTATTGAGATATATTTTATGCACAGCAAAAGTGCGAACATCTTAAGTATAGAGTTTGGTGAGTTTTGACAAATGTATACACCCATGTACCCATCACCCCCAAACAGGAATAGAGGACATTTCCATCCCCCCAAAAGTTCCCTTGTGCCTCTTTCTATTCACCATCCTTACCCCACCCTCACATGAAAGTAACCACTGCTCTGATTTCTGTCGCCACAGGTTCGTTTGCCTGTTCTAGAACTTACGAATGGAAGTTTTGCTTTTTCACATCTGGCTTTTTTCACTCTGTGTAGTGTTTATGACATTTCTCCAGGTATAGCAGGAGCCACTCCATTTAATTCCTGCCTAATATTCTGTTGTCGGAATATACCGCACTCTGTTTATCCTTCATCTGTTGATGGACATGTGGGTTGTTGTCAAGTTCTGGTGATTACGAACAAGCCTGCTACGAGCTGTCATGTACGAGGCTTTTTATAGACATAAGTCTTGGGGAAATACCTAGGAGTGGAATTGTTGGGTCATATGCTAAGTATATTTTTAACTTTATAAGCAACTGCCAAACTGTTTTTCCAAGTGGTTGTGTCATTTTTGTACTCCCACCCTGAGTGCGTGAGAGTTCCAACTGCTCCACATCGTCACCAACACTTGGTATTGACAGTCTTTTCATTGCGGCCATTCTAGTGGGTGTGAAATGGTATCTCGTGATTTGCGTTTCCCTGACGACAAATGTCATTGATCACCTTTTCATGTTCTTAGTGTCTATATCTTCTTTTGTGAAGTGTCTGTTTATGCGTTTGGGCAGGGGAAATGTTTGTCTTATTATTGAGTTGCAAGAGTTCTCAACGTGTTCTGGGTACGAGTCCCCTGTCAGCTCTATGTGCTGCAAAGGTTTCCTTCCAGTCTGTGCCAGCCCTGTCCCTTTTGATGCTTGCAGGAACCCTAGGAAGTGGATGTTATTATCTCTGCTTTGTTTTAGAAAGTCAGAATCTGAAGCAAAGAGAGGTTAAGTGAAAAGCCCAAAGTCACACAGCTACTCAGTAGCAGAGTGGGAATGCAGACCCATTGGTGTATGACTCAGAGCTTTGACATCCAGAACATCCCAGAGAGTGTCTCTCCACACATGAAGCCTTGTATCTCCCTGGCAGCCTCGAGATGCGTGGTCCTCAAGTCAGGGCCCAGGCTGGGTTATTTCAGTTCACACTCACTCCCTCTGCCTCGCACATACCAGACCATCCTGGGAAGTGGCTGGCTCCCAGAACCCAGCTGGGAGAACCGTCTTCTCAGGAGGATGCCACAGAGCTTTGGGCTGCTCCGATGAAAGACATACTGCGGGTATTTTTATGGGCCTCCACGGATGCTGGCAGGATTGCCTCGTGCCAGGAATAACAATGAGGGGCCCAGGCAAGCTCGCTGCCAGCCCTGCTCCGCGAAGCATCACTCGAGGAGGCGAGCCAGGCAGTGGGAAGGGAAGGGGGCGTGCAGGTGGGAGGGCAGGGCTGGGGTATTTGTCCATAGCTGTCTCACAGAAGGGCTGCTGGGTGCCCCAGGGACTCTGAGCAGGAGAAAGAGCCCTCCTGCAGTCAGAGCAAAAGGCTGGGAGGTTTTGAGAGAACGGGAACCACAGCAACTCCAGTCATCCACATGCTAGTTAGAACAGCGAGTCTTCGCTGAGCACTCCCTGTGCGCCAGGCAGTGTGTCCACACTTTGCATCCCTATTAGGTGCCAGATACGGTTAGGTGCTTTGCCTTACCAGCTTAAGGCTCATAATAACCCATGAGATAGGTATTATTAAGATGCCCACAGGAGGAAACTGAGGTTCAGAGAGGTTAAGTAATTTGCCTAACGTTATATCGTTTGTAAGTGGTTGAGGTTTGAATAGGGGTTAAGCTAATTCTACATACTATGCTCTGCTGCCTTTCTGTTCAACAAACTTGTAGCAAATTCCCACTTTGTGTCAAGTACTACATTAGGTGCCTTGGTCGGGGCAATATAATGTTGACCAAGACCTGTCCCTGTCTTTGGGTGGTGTAGAGGGTTGAATGGTGGCCTCCAACAAGATATGTCCACATTCCAGAACCTCTGAATGTGAGCTCCTCTGGATAAAGGGTTTTTGCAGTTGTAATTAAGTTAAGGATCTGGTGATGAGATCTTCCTGGGTTACCCAGATGGCCCTAAATCCAATGACAAGTGTCCTTACAAGGGACAGAAGAAGAGAAGACAGAGAGAAGAGGAGAAGCCATGTGAAGGTGGAGGCGGAGACTGGTGTTATGCAGCCACAAGCCAAGGAATGCCTGGAGCCACCAGAAGCTGCAAGAGGCAGCGAGTTCTCCCCTTGAGCCTGGGAGAGAGCATGGCTCTAGTATATTCTGTTCATTGGATGTGAGTCACCAGGTCCAGCCCACACACACTGGAGGGGATTACACAAGGGCTGAATACTGGGAGGGAGGACCCCTGGGGGTCAGCTTAGCGGCTGCCTCCCACAGTGCCAGAAGGCAGGAATCCCACCTTCTATTTCTCTGGCTCTCCAAAGGCATCTGGCACTGGGCTGAAAGGAAGGGAGAGAAGATTGCGCGTTGACCATGTGTGGGCTGCTGAACCAGATTCTTTATACATATCACTCACGTAGCATAATTTAACCCTCACAGGAACCCAGTAATGGGAGGGATTCACCCTCGTTTGTCAGAGAGGGTAACTGAGGCTCAGAAGATGAAGGCCACACTGTAGCAGATTAGATTAAGTCAGTGGTTCTCAAACTTTAGCTGCATCAAAATCACCTGAAGACAATCTCTGGGCCTTTTGCAGAGAGTCTCTGATTCAGCAGGTCTAGGGTGGGACTGGACAATTTGCATTTCAAACAAGTTCTCGGGTCAAGCTGATGCTTCCAGTGTGTGACCAGGCTTTTAGAACCACTGGGGAATCAATGTTGAGAACCCTAAAGATTGGTGGATTAACGAATCAGATGTATTTCTTGCTCAAGTCACAGTCCTGTTAAGGTTAGATGGCTCTCTTCCATCCATGCACCATCTGGTCCCCCAAAGTCACCATGGAAGAGAAAAGAGGGCAGAGGGTCATATGGGATATTTTAAAGGGCCAGGTCTTGAAGTGGCTTTCCTGCCTTTTGTTCACACTCCAATCGCCAGAACTCAGTAACATGGCCCCAGCAACTGCAGGGGAAGCTGGGAAATGTAGTCTTCCTTGGGAGGAGGCAATGGTTTGCTGAGCACACAGCTGGTCAGGGCCAGGCTCGGACTTGATCTCAGGTGCTTTCCCCCTTCATCTCTTGCCTTTTCCCTGGTTCAGGTGTTTTCGGTGGGCTTTCTCGTGTTCGTGTCAAGGGACTTTCTCTCCTCTAACCATTGAAAAAAGAGAAGAGGAAAGAGATATTTCTTGGGTCCATCAGTTCATTCTCTTGCCAGCAACTTTCACCCATTTAGAGGCCCAAGTGCTCAGCTTAACAGCTGTCCAGCACTTTGAAAGCTCCCAGCGTGTATGCAGGGGCGTCTTGCGCAAGTTTCTCTTCTACCATCTTAAGCAATGCAGGGCCGCCAGAGCCTTCCTGTGAAATGCAAAGCCCTCCCCAAGATCCAGAGGTGAAGAGTGAAGACACTGGCATTGGGTTGAATCCCAGCTCTGCCACTTGTGGGCTGTGTGACTTTGGGCAAATTCTTAGCTTCACTACCTCAGTTTTCCCATCTGTACAGTGGAGCTAATAATTTTGTGCATATTCAATAAAATAATGCACCTAAAGCCCTTTGAACAGTGCGAAGCACATGGAAAACTCTCAAGAAATGCCAGCCATCTTCCTGTCATCATCATTACTCCTGTTAAGATCTCACTACCTTCGCACACACCAGCCATACCAACTCACTTGCTGCCAATCTTGATGGTCGTGCATGCTCCTTTGCTTTTGTACTTGATGTCCCTTCTCCTTGGAGGTCCCTGTCTTTCACCTATTCATTTATTCATACCTATTCATCTATTCATTTAACAAAGTTTTTCTCACCTCACAACTACACTACTCATACTGCAGACTCATCTAGTCAGCCCTTCCTGGCCATTCCCATTTGGCTGACCACTCCTGTTTTCAAGGCCTATTTACTTTTCTGTATCTCTGTGAGTAACCTGAGAGAAGAAAAACTGCCCTTTTGCCAACTGGGTTTACTGGTCTGAACCAAGTTCCTAATATGGCTGTCACATAGTAGGAGCTTAATAAATATTTGTTGAATGAATACATGAATGTCACTCACCTCTGAATCTGTTCCTGGTGTCTAGTGCATTGTAGGTGCTCACTCAGGACTCTATTCCTCCTGCAAGAGACTAAGTCAGTCTGGATTCATATCATCTAAAAGTCTTGGTTGGGGGAGGGCCACTTTTAATCGGTATGTCTGGATTTTGCTTCCTTCTGAACCAGAAAGCTCTCTCTGGTCCTACTTGATCAAGTTTAAAATGACTGGTGGGGCTCTCCTCTGAAAAGTACGAGAAGATGCCACTTGCACCTGTGTTCCTTGGGCCATCCCCAGAGTCATCAAGGACTTCTTAACTGCCATGTTTGCTGACCGACTTCTGAGTGTTTGTCTCATGGGCTCCTGGAATCCCAGTGCCTAGATCAGTGCCTGGTAATCAAGGAGGGAGAGAGGGAGAGAGAGAGAGGGAGGGAGGGAGGGACTGAATGAGGAGGGGAGGAAGAAAGGAAAGAAGAAAGGAAGGAGGCAGGAAGGAAGGAAGGAGGGAACGAAAGAGGGAGGAAGGAAGGAAAGAGGGAGGAAGGAAGGAGGGAGGAAAGATGGAAGGAGGGAGGAAGGAAAGAAGGAAGGAAGGAAGGAGGGAGGAAGGAAGGAGGGAAGGAGAGAAGAAGGAGGGAAAAGAGAAGGAAGGAGGGGGGAAGGAAGGAGGGAGAAAGAAAGGAAGGAAGGAGGAAAGGAAGGAAGGAGGGAGGGAGGAAAGAAGGAGGGAGGGAGGAAGGAAGGAAGGGGCCCTTCCCTACTGGCCAACATCTTAGAAATGAAGATTTGGAGTCAAAATTATTGCCCCCCTAGTCTAATAGTGTGGATGGCAACACTTGGCCAAAACACTCGCTCAGGCCCTCCTTTCATGAATTTGATTTCTTTGGCAGTTGAGGTCTGGTCTTGCTTGGTAAGGTGGCTCTAGAACTTAATCTGCTCCCTTTCTGTCTCACCTTCTCCACCTGCTTGGTTCGTTGGCCTCTTGGGCAGGCCAGGATAGAATTTTTGTGCTGGTGGTGGGCTTACTGTGGAAGGGGGTGCTGATAGAGGGGTTTGGAAGGGCTGAGTGTGCCTTCCATCCTCTGTGGCCTCCTTAGAGGGACACATGGCCTGTCGCCTATTTATGTCATGGAGGAACAGCATGTGATTTTATAGACATTTTTCTTTTGTTTCTGATACTATTTACAGAAGGTTGTTCCGATGTTGTCCCAATTTTTACTTCTCATCCATTGTCATGCCTACACCCATGCATTTTTTTCCTGGGTGTCCACTTTTCTTGCCCCTGTGAAGCAGAACTAATGTTAATTGAGATTTTAATATGTGGCAGAGACTTTGCTTGGTATTTTCACACCTGTTGTCTCATTTATTCTTCGCAATAATCCTGCAAGGTAGATAGTCTTAGCTCCATGCTACAGGTGAGGGAAATGTGGCTCAGAGATTTTAATTTCACGGAGCTAGAAAGAGTCTTTTCATCACATCTATAATCTGTCTGCCCCTTTAACGGTCCTGCCTTGTATCCACTTGCAGTTTCTTTTTCAGGCTATTTTGGTTTCCTCCGCATCGCACATTACATGCCTCGACCGCTGTGCCTGTATTTCATGGTCTCCTGTAATAAATGCTTCTGAACGTGGGCTTGAACGCTAATTTGTTTGTAGTTATTATTTCCCAAAAGGAAAAAAAAAATGTCCACTTACGTCTCTCTTCTTTTATCTTTTCAGACCCTGAGGGCCGATTTTCAGTGGCTCTCTTGGAGCAGATATAACCGAGAAATCAATATAGCCGTTAGATTAATCTGTGGCAACCGTAATGTCAGCGCATCTCCTGCCCCAGGATGTTGACAGAGATGTCACAGCCAGGAGGAGGGAGGTACTTAAAAGGAGGAATGGGGGCCTCTGAAGTGAAGGGGAGAATTAAAACCCCACAGAGCCTCACTTAGCAGACTGGAAATTGCAGGCGGCTGCCTCCGGCATAGTCAGGTCTTTCTTCAGAGACTGCAGGGGCTTCGAGTCATACGTGGCAGAGGGGTGTGCAAGGCTTGGGCTTTGGGAGGCCCTTCAGGAGGATGAAATCGGCAGTGGTGGAGCAGAAGCCTGAACCAGAATCTCTCTCTTTTAGAGACCAGGTTCTCGGCACCACCTGAGGTGGGGTAGAGGGTGGGAGGATCTCTTGCAATTTCCTTTTTCCAGTGGATCTGGCCTTCTGTTACTATTATTGTTATTTCCTGACACAAAGGGAGAGGGCATTCTTTATAAGCACAGTGCTTGGCTCATGGGGAGCGCTCAGAGTATGCTTGAGTGGTCAATGCCGGTCAGTCTACAGAGCACATTCGGTGAGTTGACAACTATGTATTAAAGGCCTTCTCCATGTCAGGTGCTGCTCAAGGTGCAGGGACGAGGTGGGGTTGGGAGTTCTGCAGTAAACAAAATATCAGACAAGATCTCTGCCTTTAGGGAGCTCACATTCTAGTGGAGACTAAGAATTGAGCTAAGCTATTCTCTCTCTCCTACAGAGGTGGCCAGCTGCCCCCCCGAGTCTCTTCCCCCCCTTCCTTTGTAGAGCAGCGGTTCTCAACCAGGGGCCATTGTGCCCCCAGAAGATATTTGGCAATGTCTGGAGGCGTTTTTAGTTGTCATGAGTTGGGGTAGGACCCAGGGTTGCTACCAGACATCCTACTGTGCACAGGACAGCCCCCTCGCAAAGACTTGTCCAGCCTTCAGTGCCCATGGTGCCAGGGTTGAGAAACACTGGTGGAGAGAGAGGTGGCTGCTCATTCAGTGGCTGTACTTCCCGGCTTCCTGTGCAGCGAGGTGTGGCCCTGTGACTAGTTCTCACCAAGGGAGTGGGAACAGGAGTGCCCTGCCCATACCAGGTGCAGGGCTTTCCGTAAGTGGATGTGCCTCTTTCCCTTCCTCAAGCTGGGTAAAGAGAGCAACAAGGTCCCAGGTGACAATGGAGCCACCTGGGGCCCTCAATTGCCACGTGGGGAGAGCTGTCTGCCAATCAGAGACACTCGCCATGAACTGTCATGAGAATAAGAACTAAAATTCTGTTATGTTTAAACCATTTTGCATTTTGGGATCTCTCAGTTACCGCAGTTTAATCTCCCCTCCTACTGTAGTCGCTAAGTCTTGTCAATAGTTCTTCAATGGTAAGAAGAGCTAACATTCATTGAGTGCACATTGTGAGCCAGACACTAAGCTCTTATATTTATGTTAGATCTCATTTTATCTTCATACCAACCCTATGAAATAGGGACTATTATTATCCTTGTTTTTGGGATAAAGGAACAAATGCTTAAGGAGGTTAACCGGGCAAGTAAGTACCTGATGGCAGTTTAATGCCAGCTTCCAGTCTCAACCTCTGGAACAAGTTCCTTTCTCTCTTTATATCTCTTTGTTTGGGCATAATCGTCTCCATTTAGGGTCACTTAACTGCTCCCTTCTTGGTCTCTCTTCCTCCATTGTGGACACAGCAAATAGAATCCCTTTTTAAAAACCAAATCTGAACCTGCTTCTTTCCTGCCCTCCTCCCCTCAGTGACTGCCCACTGCCTTCAGCGTGGAGCGCATGCTCCTTGCCAGGGCAAAGCGGTCCGTCTGTGATCCACCCCAGCCTACTCCGCTACCTTCATCATCTCTTGCTCCTTCTTCCTTTGGCCACGCATCCCGGGCTTCGGCTGTGCTGTAAGATGAAAGGATTATTCTTTTTCCAAAATTATTCTTGCTCTGCAGAGGGTATCACAGTTAGAGGAACAAGCTTCCCCTGTGTATTTTCAGGAGTTAAAGCAAGGATTGTTTGACCATCTCCTGGGAACACTGTTGAAAGGATTCTTATATTGGGTGGGAGGTGCATTCCAACCAGACATTGCTACGGTTCTTCAAAACACAGCTAATTGCACAACGTAAGGTGAACCCGGTTTTTCAACTTCGTTCAGCTCTCAAATTCTATTTGTTCTATTAAAGACTATATTGACTTTGGAGAGTAATTTGGCAGTATTACACTACAGCAACTCTACTCCTAATTATACTCCCTAGAGAACTCTCATGTGCAAGGAGAAACGTCGTATTTGTAATTGTATAAAACTGCTAAGCTAAATGTCCATCCACAGGAGAGTGGACCAAATAAACTCATACAAGGAGTATTGTAGAGGAGTGAAAATAAATGAACGAGAGCTACATGTAGTAAATAGGGATGAATCTCAAAAACATAACGTTAAGTATAAAAAGCTGTCTGAAGAAGGATAGGAATGGTATGACGTCATAAGTAATGGTATATATTGTTCCAGTTGGGGTCCAAAAGTAATCAAAAGACACAAGCAGAATTCTGAAGAGAAGGAAAGGAAGGGACCATGTATAGTGGTGGCAGATGCGGTAGATTGTTTCATGGCCACCAATTCCTCCCATCCTGTTATGTAGTCCCACTCTGCTGCTCCTTCCATCCAGAGGTGGAATCTGTTTTCCCATCCCTTTTCATCTGCGTTGGCTTTGTGACTCGTTTTGACAAACAGATCGTGGAAACAGTGACTTGGAACGAATTATAGAGGCCTTGCCATTTCTGCCTTCACTCTTTTGGAATGCTTCTGACATCATGTCAAGGAACCTGCACTACCTACTGGAGGCTCTGGAAAGAGGACCCAACTGCCAGCCAGGACCAACCACCAGATATGCGAGCGAGACCATCAGGACCAGCCGGCCTCTGGCTGACCACCAACTGGCTGCAAATGTATGAGTCCAGTCTACACCCCTGTGAGCAGAAAAACTTCCTAGCTGAGCCCAGCTCAAATGACCAACTCATGGAAATCACCAGCTTCCTCATCAGGAAAATGGGAGTAGTAATGGTGCCCTTCCTGCTGTGTAAGGACTCAATGAGATAATGAAGCGAGTCGGCCTGGCACACAGTAAGTGCTCAGTAAGTGTTAACTGTTGGTGTTTTGTAGGAGCGGCCCACGAGACTGATTTTCCGAACAAACCAACTGTTTTCCTCTTGGACTGTGGCCACTGCCGGAGGGCACAAGGGATGACAGGTGGCCGGGCACCCTGGGGAATTTGAGGAGATGCCCCTCAGGATGGGGGGGGAGGCTCAGAACCCTTGGTGAGGGGTCAGGATGGCACTATTCTGGGGCGTGTTCTGCACGCTCTGTGGAGACAGCATGCGACTTGGAATCAAACCTGAATTCGATTCCCGGTACTGCTGCTTGGCAGCTGTGTGACTTATGGCAAGTCATTGAGCCTCCTTGATCCTCAATATCCCGTCAGCTAGAGAGCATCTCACAGGAGCATTTGAAGGTCCAGTAACCTGTTATATACAAACGAGGCTCTGAACTCAAATGCCTTCAGAGGCCAGGCAAGTGGGCCTGGTGAAGACAGGTGGGCAGATGTGGTCTACACGTGCCCTCCATAAAGCTTTCAGATCAAAAAATAGTTTTTTAAACATTGTGTTTGCAAACCAAAATAATACGTTATGTGCTGAAGCTGCCTGTTGGGCTCCCAGGAGCCTAAATTAATTAAAGCCGTCCCTGTATACATTAGGGGGTAAATAAATACTAGCTATGATTACTGCAGACATTCTAGGCCTCATGTGCCTCAGTTTCCTCATCTCTAAAATGGGGGTAATAATGCCCCTTGAATCTCCCTCACGTGGTTTCAGGGGCAATCAAATGAGTTATAAGGACTGTGAAAGAATACAATATTTTTACACATGCAAAGAATGTTATTATATTGTTCTCATGACAAATATTACTTTACCTTAAGTAAATATTCCTGTGCCTCAAAGGCTGCTGCAGGTTTCAGACAGATCTCGGTGGTCTCTGAGATAGGCAGGTAGAAACAGGCAGGCAGGTGGGTGTGGGGCCCTGCCACAGTGATGCACAGCTTTCCAAAACCATTGTTCGGAGGCCTGAACTTTGTGGCTTTAAAATATGTCCACAAATTTTTGGACATTCACCACCTTAAAAGGTGGAAGCTAATTTCTTGCAAATAGAATACGGTGGAAGTAAGGATGTGTGACTTCCCAGGCTAGATCATGAAAGACTTAATGGTTTCCTCCTTGCCCTGTCTTGGATCACTTGCTCTGGGGAAGCCCACTGCCATGTTGTGAGGACACTCAAGCAGCTCTTGGAGAGGCTCAAGTGGGAGAATCTCCCAAATAAGGCCCCCCAAATTCCTGACCCACAGAGACCGTGAGATAATAAATGCTCGTTGTTTTAAGCCACTGTTTTGAGGTAATTATTATGCAACAATAGTGCCAGAAGGGAAGGAAGGAATAGAGTTTTATGCAGTCTTGCTAGGCACCTGGCCCTCCACCAAGTTCTTTCACGGAAGCCGTAGATCAGTAAGTCTTTGCAGCCACCCCACCAGACTGGGGCTCATTACCTCTCATTCCCGGATAAGAGGGTCAGAGGCTGAGTAGTAGCTTTCCCAGGCCCCGTCGCTTGAAACAAACACTGTTGACCTTCAGATTCAGTCCGTCCACCTCCAGCTCCCTTGCCTGGATGCAAGATCCTTCTTGGTGTCATGGCAGGTGTCAGTTTTGCCCAAAGCTCTCTGTTTCTTAGTTTCTCTCTCCCTCCCTCCCTTTCACCATCCCTCCCTCTCTTGTTTTCTTTGCAATCGAGGATGGAGGAAGAGATAAAATGACCCCTGAATATTATTTGTCTAAAAGGAATGTTTAAGAGAAAATAGAATGTGTGAGACCTACCTTTTTTTAACAGCCCCCGTAGCCCCTGGCCTAAGTGGGAACCACGGGGTCTACCGTGAACGATAGGAGGGCTTTTTGAATTCAGCTGTCAAAGCCTGGGCAATCATCCTGGTCTCCTGGGTGGAAATGATTTACAATTTTCCTCTTTAGGGGCATCTTAAGACAAACAGGCACTTTTGTTTCCATGGAGAACGCACTCTTCCTCTGAGGTAGATTGCCTGCCTGCCCGCTACCCTTCCTTCCTCTCTCCCTCCCTGCCATTCTTCCCTACTTCCTTCCTTCCTTTCTCCCTCCCTCCTTTTTCTCTTTCTCCCTGCCCTTTCTCTTTCTCCTTCAATCACTCCTCAGTTTCTTCTGCCCTTTCCTCCCTCCACTGAGTTTTCTGCCAGCAGCAGGGCCAATGACATCCTTTGATCTCACCCCAGGGGAGGGCAATGCCTGTGCCTCCCTCATGCCCTTGTGGAGGAGTTTTCAGAATCCTCTGGTGCTGAGAAGATTCACCCTAGATCTTTGGACTTGTTTTCCTGAGTTTGTTTTGCAAAGAGCTCAGAGCAGCGGAGCCAGCCTGGGCCGAGGATCGGGCAGCTGTGGCACAGCCTCAATTCTGATTCTGTGGCCAGGTATCTGCACAGCCTCAGGCAGCTCACTCCATCTCTCAGTTTCTTCACCTTCGAAGTGAGAACTCTCTCAAAAGCCGCCATGAGAAAATGCTGGCGAGGTGGTAAATAGATTCCTTCCTGGAGGTCTTCCAGGTCACTCGGCTGACACCTCCGCCTTTTGGCCCTGAAGTTTATTTATTAACAGCCCCCAAAGGAGGATGGGCCACTCCGAGGAGTGGAGCCCTAAGAGGCCCTGCTGTGGGCTTGGGCAGGTGGAGCAGGTGGTGCATTCTGGGGCCGTCTTCACACATTCCGTCTGTGGAGTTTCAGAAGTGCCAATAATCATCAAGAGCAGCGTCTGCGTGTGGGTGTTTGGAACAAAAGAGGAAGATAAAGCTAATCTCAGAGTGTGTGTCTGTTGCCTGTGAGCAGCTCTAGATGTGTGCCTCTAAGTATGTGTGTTTGTCTCGTGTGAAGGTGGGTCTGTGTACACATATGAACATGCCTGCACATGTAGGTGGCTGTGTGTGTATGTGTGCCCTCCCCATGCATGGGGGGCAGGCAGTTTGAACAACAGCCATTTCTTTAGTTTGCTTCAGCTAGAGGCTCCGGTTACAGAATATGAATCTTCAACATATGGTCAGACTGTTCAGATCATCAATTCTGAGTGGATGAGGCTGGTCTGGGAGACATGGTGCCCTAAACAGAAAGCCCTCTGTCCCCACACTGCCTGCCTGGGAGGGAGGTCTCTGCCTGAAAGCAGATTTGTGTCCCTGTGATCTCATTCTGCTCTGAGATGAGGCTGGGTACCAGGGACCCAGTTCAGGTGTTCATGTATTTCCAGAATGCGTCTGATTTTAATCAGGGTTTTGTTGTGAGTAACTGTATGTATGGGTGTGCTTGGCTCCAGTGAAATATGAGGATGCTTCTTTCCTTGCCTCCTCCTTCCTTCCTTCCCTCCCTTCTTCTCCTTGTCCCTTCCCTCTCCCTCCTGCACATACTGATCACCTTCCCCATGCCAGGCCCTGCTCCATGGGCTAAGGACACAAAGATGATTAAGAGATAGTCTCTGTCATGGAGAAACGTCCAGTCTATTTAGAGAGGAAGATAAGTCAAGCTGCAGTAACAGAACGCGGATGTGGAGGGGCCACGGGGTGTCCAGGAGCACAGAGGGCAGAGGGGAGCAACTAGTCTTTCAGGGGCCCCGTGAAAGGCTTCCAGGATACAGCAGTGCTTGAACTAAATCCTGAAAGTCGAGGAATTCGGCAGCTTGGGGAAGGGTGGATGACAGAAGAGGCTTTGTAAGAATAGTTGCTATTTTTCGGTGGGTGTTACTTTGGGGAGCGGGATAGAGTCATCTATTCATTTTTGGAGGACTCTAAAAGGTCCTATAGTTCTTTGTTAAAAATGGCTGGGCTGTGGCACAGGTTTGTATTAGAAAAATGCATTAAATGGAATGACAAGCAATGCAGGGCAGACAAGGACTAGGAGATGAGCCCTCTAGCCCCATTATTTGCCAATCCAGTCTCCCAAAGGAGGAAGGGATGAGTGTGGAGAGGGAGTGAACAGTGAGTTACTGAGCACCTGTTGTATGTCAGGTGACTTTAAACGTTATCTCATTTAGTCCTTACCAACAGCTCCAAATGTGGTAGATTGGTCAACTCCATTTTATAGCTGAGGAGACTGAGACTCAGGTTGTTTGCCCAGGCAAAGAGCAGGACTTTGAGCCACAATCTATATGGCTCAGCTCCCAAGCCAGTGTCTCTTTCCAGCAAACTCGATCTTCTATAGAGAACATAGCATTGTGGCCAACAGACTTCTTGTCAAGGATCATAAACTTGGAATTCAATATAAAGTCGCTATTATTTCAGAAAAAAGAAAACCCCAGATTCCTGCCCCTTTTGAAGAAAGTAACATGCCTTAGTGAGATGGACCATTAATATACATTGTCATGACATCAGTATTGCAGGCTCGTTCTTTTGGAGAGCCAGGATGTTGCTAATTTGCATACTGCTTTGCATTCATTTGCATTTCTCTCCATATGCAAAATCAAATGCAGCTAATTAGCGCAACCTTGTTACAATGAGAAGCAGGCTCAGCCTTCTGTGCCAGGGCATATGGAGCCCAGAACAGGGACCGAAACCACCTAAGGCCGGTCACGTCCTGGGTTGGACATGTCAAGGCCAGTCACGTCCTGGGTTGGACACGTCAGAGAGTTGAGAGGAAGACACATACCCTGAATGAAAAATAGGGTAGTTGAGTATCATTATTTTTCAAATATTGTCCCTTTGAAGTAACTATTGAAGAGAGAGAGAGGCAGATCAAAGCAGGTGGTCAGAACTCTGCTTCAGGCAGGATTTCATTGGAGAAAACATAGAATTTGGAGCCCACAGGCTTCAGGTGAAGCCAGCTTTGGAGTTTGGAGTTGGATTCCAAGCTGTGGACTCCTGCACTTCATGGACTTGCAAGGATTAAGTGGGAAAAAAATGGATGAGAACGTACTGTGGAAATATTAAAGTGCCATACAGATGTGAGGGCTCTAGGCCATGCCACATTATGATGGAGGGCAGCACCAGGTCCAGTTGGGGTCTGACGCTCACAGCCTTGCAGGGTCCAGACCCTGAATGTGATGGAGAATTTTATCTCTCTCTATCTCTATCTATGTCCATGTCTATGCCCATACCTGTGTCTATATCTATATCTATATTCACATCTATGTCTATATAATGTAGCATTTAATGAGCACGTAATATGGACTGGGCACTGTGCTGAGCTCATCACAATCATTATATCATTTAATGGTTCCATGACCAACTCTAAGAGGTATGCCTTATTATAACCCCGTCTTATAGATATCACCATGGCAAAAACATGCTTGCCAAGTGCACCAGGATGCTCTTGCCAAATGATTAGAACCCTTTGTCTCCCGAGTCGTGATGGTGACATTCATGTTTTACAACCCTCCCACCTGGACTTTTCCAGCCTCCGTGCAGACTATGTTCTTCCTGCTAAACTACTTCTTCTTTCAGATTTGCCTAGCTGGGGTCATTTTGATGTGGTCTTGGCTTTGGCTCTAGGTTTTCGGAGGACTCTTTTCTTCTCCACTGGTCATTTTGATTGGACTCGAGTATTTCAGTGCCATAGTCACATTGCGTTACTTAGGACACACCGTTCTGCGAAGAGCAGCTCCCATGTACCCAGGTAAATTGCATTATTGGTCACAAATAGTCTCTGCATCTTATGGGCGTAGGATTATACTTTCCCACTCCCTGAATATACAGCCTGGCCATGTGGCTCATTCTGGCCAATGACATGTCAATGGAAATGATGCATGTCACTACCAGGCAGAAGACAACATGTGGTTGGTTATATCTTTCTTCCCTTTTGACCTTGTAGGGGTCTGGAATTGGCCACCCCAAGTTATGTCTCTTTGGCATGAGGATTATTTGAGGCTGATTGCTTTTGATAAACTGGGACAGGGAAGGAGGCTCTGAGGAATGGAACTCACCCTTTGTTAGGACACATTTACATTTGTAAGGTAAATCTCTATCTGTAAAATGTGCCTCCCTCTCTGTACCAGGAAGAAGAAAGGAGATGACCTTCTCTCTAGAAACTCTTAATCAATGCCAAAGGCAAGGACTTAAATCTGCATTTTATTCTGCTTGTCTGGTAACCTCCTGTAACTGACTTCCCTCCCCCTCCCATCATTGGCATTTCTTTAAGAATTAAGCATCTTTCTTTAGGCTAGGAACTGATTGCTGCACTCACCTGTGACCACCCAGCTCAAGACAATAGACTTGCCTCCTGCTATGCCCTCTGAGATAGCAGACCCACTATCTGCTGTGTCCATCAAGCGCTGTGCCGACAGGGCAATCTTGTGACTATTGTGGGAGGGACATTTCAATCATATGTGAAACACCCAGTTTAGGGGTATATAACCACTCTGTGCACCCCACATCTTCGGTGCCCTTTCTTCCTTCTGGAAGAAAGGCCCCGGGCCATGGTTCCTCATAAAGCTTTGTTTAATTTTCTCTTGCTATTCTGTCTCATGTGAATTTAACTCGTTCTCCGGCCAGACGAACCCACATTGGATAGAGGAAATGTATTCCTCCCCTACAACCTGTTGCCAGGTGGTGTTCCAGATAGTCTGCTCCATAGCTGGGTCCTGGAGTGGAGGCAAGGTGGAACTGGTGCTGGGCTATTCCTGTGAGTAGCAATAAATGTAGTTGTAAGCCTTGGAGATTTGGAGCATTATTTGTTACAGGAGAATAACTTAGTCTATCCTCATGGAAACATTCACTTTCTATCGTGTATTATGAGCTTAACTCTCCAAGTTGGTCTTTCTCCTAAATTCTGGAGAGATGTTGTTAAAGCTCCTATGAACTGACTGTAGTTGTTACTGTAGGTAGCTGGACACTTATGCCAATGATATTGTCATTCCTCGAGATATTTTGTGTTTCCATTTTGGAAACTGCTTTAACATTTTAGAAGCACGACTGCTGCTGCTAACAGCTAAGGCTTTACAAGCGTTGTCCCAGTTGATCTTGACAACAGCCCTGTGAGGTAGGTTTTCTTAATTTTCATTTTCCAGTCAAGAGAAACAGAAGCTCCGAAACGTTTACTAATGCATTCAAGATCACACAGCTAAGAGGAGAGTCAAGATTTAAATCTGCATTCATTTGAGGCACAAACTAATGTTGTTACTTCCTACTCATACGTTTTTTCCACCAAAATGGATATTAACTAGCTGAGTCACACTTCTTACTCATGAGAGATGGCTACAAATATTTTGGCTGCTTATGAATATCAAAATAATTATTACATGGTGAAAATAACATTGAACTTAATGTTAGGTGATATGGTGTCGCCTTGCAGCTGTTTCTTATAAGTGATCTTATTATGTGAGTTGGGCTGGTTGTTTTTCCTCTCTGCAACCTGGTATTTTCATTTGTAAAACAGAGTACTTCATCTCAGACCACGTGGTCCACGGATCTGGCTGATGGGATCCTTGTACCCCTTGAAAGTATATGTAGAACATTGTGTGTCTGTGTCTTTTTTCCATAATGTTCATCAGGTCCTGGAAGAGATCTGTGACCCCTAAAAGATGAGAAGCCCTAATTCTCTCATTTGTTGAGTATGATTTATCTCTTTCCCCCGAAGAAATGGGGGTGGAAGCCGGAAGAATTCAGTCTGACTGAATCGCCGTTGAGTTGTGTAAGGCAAGTGTCAGATTTATCAAAGAAGAACTGGAAGGCAAGCTGTATCATTTCATTAAAAATAATCATTAAAAAATGTTTCTGCCTCACATTCCTGTGGCTCCTTGCTGTTTACTCTGCACAGAAGCTATTCTTTCGTCTCCCTGGTCAGGGACTGTGTCATTAGCTGTGGCTATTGGTCATTTCCTGTCTCACTCAGCCAAATAATCATGTTATTTTGACTGGGATGAGAGTGTATCCAGAGCTATGAATTTAGTCTCACAGGAACTAGCAGATGCGTTTCCTTGAATGTGGGAGGAAAGGAAAAAAGGGCAGGGAAATAGCATTCATTGAGTCTCTACACCATCCCAGGCTGTCTGCTGACAATTCATTCATTTATTTAGTCGTCATGTCTGTTTTCAACGAATCTTTATTGAGTATCTATCATACATTGGCTACTGTTTTAGGTACTGAGGATATGGAAGGGAACAATCAGACAGAAAAGATTCCCCACATTCCTGGAATTTATGTTCTGGTGGGAGAGAGAAAATATCTTAGTAAAAAAAATTAGCAAAATATACATGTTTCACATATCCTACTTCAGGACAAGATGGCAAGATGTCCTACATATTGTAACCCCATATTGCAGATGGGGAAACTGAGAGTTAGAGACACGAAATAAGTCAAGCAGTGTCACATAGCAGATAAAAGGCTGACCCTAAGCTTTCAAAGTTAGATCTTTCTGACTCCCGCGTCCATATTGCTTCCCCCACAGAAAGCAGTGGCCACTACCTAAAAGACTGTCCTTTAGCTGTGAGCCATTTGGTCAAATGTCCCTGAGGCTAATTCCATCCTGATGGAAATCTGAGATTATGTGGAGAAGGCTTAGTCACTTACTCTCATCACACTCCTTACCCTTAGTGAGCTATGTACAATAGCTATGAGAATCTGCTACTCAAAACTAAAAAGAAGTAGTTTTCCCTTTCCACATCAGCCGTGTTTCAGAAAACTGTAATGAAGACCTGAAAAGGGAAAATGAGATAATGATAGGGAAGATGCTATAGACCAGGTCTATGCCAATGACTCCACTAATTCAACTGAATATGAGAAAGTAAGAGAGTACAAAATGTGCCAAGTCAATGTTAAAGGCTCAGCTCCAGCTTCTGGACACCATACTCATGACACCAACAATGTTTAGGAAAATGAAGAATCTCTAATTCAAAAAGATATATAACCCCTATGTTCATCGCAGCATTTTTCACAGTGATCAAGATGTGGAAGCAACCCAAGTACCCATCAATGGAAAAATGGATAAAGAAGATGTGGTGTATATATATATATATACATACAATGGAGTACTTACTGCTCAGCCATAAAAAAGGCAAAATTGTGTCATTTTCAAAAGAGATGGATGGGACCTGAGGGTAATATGCTCAGTGAAATAAATCAGACAGAAAAAGACAAGTATCATATGATTTCACTCATATGTGGAAGATAAACAAATAAACACATAGATAAGGAAAATAGATTAGTGATTGCCAGAGGGGAAGGGGGTGTGGGGAGAGCAAAAGGAGTAAAGGGGCACATATGTATGGTGACGGATAAAAACTAGACTGTTGGTGGTGAACACAATGCAGTCTATACAGAAACTGAAAAATAATAATGTAAGCCTGAAATTTACACAATATTACAAGCCAATATGAGCTCAATAAAATAATTAATAAAAAAAATCCAGTATCTCTGTCAGTAAAGGGACACCAAGAAGATGTATTCTACCCAAGAACCCTCCTCCAATAAGATTTTTTAAAAATCAACTTTCTTGATGCATTATTTATGAACAAAAGATTATTCCCATTTAAAATGTACAATTCAATGAGTTTGACAGAAATGCACACCTGAGAAACCACCAGTACATCATGAACATTTCCATCACCCTCCCGCCCTCCACCTGAAAGTTTCTGTGGGCCCTTTCTCAGTCCATCTGTCTCTCCACCCTGGCCCCAGGCAACCACCGATCTGACGTCTGTCTCTATAGATTACTTTGCATTTTCTAGAATTTTATATAAATGGAATTGTGCAATATATACTCCCTTGTGTCTGGCTTCTTTCATTTGGCAAAATGATTTTGACATTTATCCATGTGTGGTGCCAGTAATCCATTCTTTTTTTTTTAAATAGATTTTCTTTTTTACAGCAGTTTGGTTCATAACAAAGTTGAACAGAAGGTACAGAGATTGCCTATGTACTTTCTGTCCCCACACATCCACAGGCTCCCTATTGTCAACGTCCCACCCCAGAATTTGCATTCTTTTCAAAGTTATCGATAATCTTTGTTTTGATGGTTTGTGTTTTTGTGTTCTAAAATTTTTTTGCCTATTCCAAGGTCACCAGGACGCTTCTATGATTTCATCTATAAGTTTTATAGCTTCGGTTTTACATTCAGGTCTATGATTCATTTTGAGTTAATTTTTGTATATGCTTTGAGCTACGAGTCAATGTTCATTTGTTTCCATAAGGATATCCAATTGTTCCAGCATCATTTGTTGAAATGTCTTTCATTTCCCATTGAATTGCCATGGCACTTTTGTCAAAAATCATTTGACTCTATATGTATGAATCTATTTCTGAACTCTCTGTTCTGTTCCATTGGCCTGTCTATTTGATTGATGCCAATACCAGTGTCTTACTTTTTGTAGCTTTGCAGTAAGTCTTGAAATTAAGCAGTGTAAGTTCTCCAAGTTTATTCATTTGAAAAATTGCTTTGGCTCTTCTAGATAATTTGAAATTTCATATATATTTTAAAACTCTTTTGAATTTGATTTACATTTGTTTTATGGGCTAGCTCCTCATTTATTTTGGTGTATGTTCCATGTACTCTTGAAGAGAATGTGACCTCTGATATTGTTGGGTGTAGTCTTCTATAAATGTCACTTAGATTAAGACGGTTGGTACTGTTGTTCAGATCTTTTATATCTATCAATTACTGAGAGAGATGTATTAATGTCTCCAACTCTGAGTATGAATTTGCCTGTTGTTCTCTTCTGTTGTGTCGTTTTCTGCTTCATATACTGTGAAGCTCTCATATTAGGGGCATATACATTTATTATTGTTATCACTCTCTCTCCTTGATTACTGATCTCTTTATCATTATAAAATATCCATCAATGTCTCTAGTAATAATCCTTATCTTGTAGTCTATTTTGTCTGATATTAATACAGACACTTTTGTTTTCTTATGCTTATTATTTGC